TGCATATTTGTGAACATTTATGTCTTTTGTTTAATTTTCAGTTTCTACTTTTGGCTGTGTTATTCCAATAAGCATAATTGATTTAATAAAAATGTGCGCTTATGGATGTATTGAAAAATCTGTATGTGTGAGGTTTTTTTATTGAGATCCTGTGCAAAAAAAAAAAAAATGTATCAAAATTAACATTATTTCTGACCACTGACTTAATTACAAAGTAATCCATTGCCTTTAATACATGGCAAATAACATATTTCACATAAAAAATAAATAAATAAAATTAATAATAATAAACAGCAGCATTGTAAACTCTGTAATTTAAAGAGCTAAAATATTTAAATTTAGTCATTTTTGGTAGTTATCATCAAGCAGTAAAAAAAAAAAAAAAAAAAAAAAAACTGCCAGTGAAACAAAAATATATACTTTTTTAACCTTTTGACAGATATATTTATCCTCAATGTACAACTTTTTAAAAGGAACTCATTAAGAGTTAAAAACATTTATCTGTTAAATGAAATCCATTAAATTCAATATATTTCTTTGACCTGATCAATAAATAATAACCAGAAAGCACACACAACTAGCAAAAATAGGCTTCATCCAAATTGATATTTTCAGGAAGGTTGGGGAAAAATGGTTGATCTGTAGGGAACATAAAGCCATCCCAATTAAAGTGAACTGTAATAGGGAGAGATTTACAGTGCTCAGCATATATAAGGACCCCACCTATAAGTACAAATCTATCTTTTAAATTTATATTTTTAATAGTAATCCATGCAATATTATAATCTAATGTAAATCTTGAGCTAATCTAACAAAATAACTTGCGATAACGGTCCAAAAATTAGTACAGCCAAATTTATATGTTAAAGAAAAATATTAAATACAAATTTAAGGGGAAAAAATCAAGATTAGAATAATGGAAACATTCATTCATTTTGTTTTCGGCTTAGTCCCTTTATAAATCCGGGGTCGACACAGCACAATAAACCGCCAACTTATCTAGCATATGTTTTACACAGCCGATGCCCTTCCAGCTGCAACCCATCTCTGGGAAACATCCATACACACTCATACACTACGGACAATTTAGCCAACCCAATTCACCTGTACCACATATCTTTGGACTGTGGGGTAAACCGGGGCGCCTGGAGGAAACCCATGCAAACTTGGGGAGAACATGCAAACTCCACACAGCCGAGGCTTGAACCAGTGACCTTCTTGTTATGAGGTGACAGCGCTACCTACTGCGCTTCTGCGTCGCCCAAAATGGAAACATTTAGTTGAAACATTTAGTTTGTAGTTTTTTTTTTTGCAATATTTTGCTTAAATGTAATTGTATTATCTTTCAATTTCTAAATACACTTGATGACTACAATATTATTTTAATAAATATATCTGTTTAATAAATCTGTTTTGTAAAATATTCATTTTCAAACTGAGGTGTGCTCAATTAATTATGTGGTGTATATATATAGGTAATTGTGTTTTAATAAATATATGTGTTTTGGTATGGATGTATTGAGAAACCTGTACCTGTAAGTGGCAGTTTTTTGACAGCATTGCACAATAATAATAATAATAATAATAATAATAATAAAGCATGAAAATTGTTGTTTTTCTGACCAATGACTTAATTAAAAATAATCCAATGTATGTGCAGATTGACATATGTGTATTTATGAAATGATATGTGTTAGCATGTGTTTTTTTTCTGGTAAACTGTTCTGTCTTGTAAAAAGTAAATACAAACAAAAGTGTGGAAAATAATAAGAATCATCCAACACAAGTAACACAAAAAGATCACTAAGAAAATGCACTCAAAAATTACTTTTGCTGCTTCTTTAAACTACTAATTTAAAGCTTGAGCTGAATCAGCACATTTCTTGAGGTTGTTTTTTTTTTTTTTGGTGTCAATTTAAATGTTTTATGTTCAATCCACTTAAATTTCCACTTAATCTATTTTTGTTGGGACAATATAAAGGAATTGTCTGGAAGCAAGCATTTTTTAATAGTGTGCCCAAAAGTAACTTAGCACATGCATCAGAAACACAATCTAAACAGCTAATTTAAAGTCAACATATTTAAACAACAAAACTTAAAATAAACATCTTAAATTTAAACAAAAAAGGTCAACGTAAATTATTTGCTGCCTAAAAACCTACTTAAAATACATAATACAGAGCAATAGCAAAATCATGTCATAGCAAAACCATGCTGAATCTGAGAAGTCTAGCAGTCTCAGGTGGGCTTTTACTGTGCATCTGCATTTCTGCACTAACCACATGAAGTCATGCTCCTCTACAGCAGGCGCTAAACTTCACCCCGTCCCTTCCCGGGTCTATTCTCACCCCAGAGAGCTTCCAGAGGGCCAGAGGTTAACATGCTAATCGAGAAACACTGATTACTGTGAGTGGGCTCTGGCTTTTAGAAAGTCAGAGAAGAGCAGGCCGCGCACAGCTGTGTTTGGAAAGCAGACCCGAAAACGGCTTTACAACATTTCTCTTGGAGGAATCGGCAAAACCCATAGATCAGAATGAATGGGCTTCTCTTACTTTTCCTCCGTGACGTGGGAAAGTCATATTTCTTTATGCACAATATGGATTTGTGCTCGCCTGTTATTTTTGTGCATTTAATAGTGGCATAATAGCGTGGTATGTTTTTGCTCGGCATCAGGTGTCGTCAAATATAATATATTACAACAGTGAACAGCAATTTATTTTGGACTTAATAATTATTATAATTCATATTTATGGAGCAAGAGGGGACACTAAATTTGCAAAACAGATTTTAGATATGTATCAGTAACGCTTTTCAGTAAAGTTAAATCAGTTCATGCATTTACTAACAATGTACAGTGCATTTATTACAGCATTAATTCACCTTTGTTAATGTTACTCAATTAAAATCCAGTCATAAATAATTTTTTTCATGCTAACTCACAGACCATTAATGTTAACAAGCACAACTTTTGATAATAATATTGCATTAATGAATGTTAAATTATGATTAATCAATGTTTTTAAACCACACTGAACTTCAACTTAGAAAACTGGACTGACACATTTTTAATTTACTAGAACTTCAATGTTAAGCTGCTTTGACAGAAGCTACATTGTAAAAGAATGAAACATGATTTGAATTGAATTCACTGGTAGTGTTCATTCTTAATCATTTTTAGTAAAGACACAAACTAATGAAACCTCATTGTAAAATGTAAACAAATAATCTACATAGAAATATTTATAAAAATAAGATGTCAAAATATGGGTTAAATAATTGTCCTCATTTAATGTAACCAATATAGTCATGCAAATAGGAAACACACTTATTTTTTGATATATACACTGTAAAAAATGCAGGGTTATACACAATTTATTCATGTTGTCCCAACACAAATCGTTTAACTTAACACTTTTAACAAATGTATGTGGATTGAACATAAAACAATTAAGTTGTCCCAGTGAAGTCTCAAAAATTGTGTTGTTTCAGCTCATTTTAAATTAGTTTGAACAAGCAAATAAATAAAAAAATTTTTTTGAGTGAACTTTTATTATATTTTAAATGATAAAAAAAACATCTTTCCCTTTCTTTTGTCACTTCATGGGGAATTCTTCCCCCCAAAGCAATGTATTGTAACTAAAAGGTTGTTTTGATTATCACTGTATTGTACTTACAAGCTGTGGTTGGGGTGTTTGTTTTTGTTTTGTTTTTGTAAATGTATGCATATCAGAAAACTAATCCTGGAATCTGTGATTATTGTAAGTTTATTCAACGACCAAATAAAACACTTAATTGACAAAAAAACTTCCACACAAATGGGTAAAACCTGGTAATTTTAAAGATAGTGGCAAAGAAAAAAGATATTAAATAACACTTAGTATTTTTAGTGCTGCATTGTAATCTTTATATATACTGAAAAACATTATTCTGCAAAATTTTTGCACACAATTGATATGGGCTGAATTTAAACAAACAAACGTTCAAGATAATTTGTTTGTTTAAATTTAGCCCAAATCAATTATTTACAACCACTTAACGTAAAAAATTAGAAAATTTAGGAATCATCTTTGAATGATTTTTTTCAGTGATGGGGTCATTTTAATATGTTATAAAAAGATTAAAGTCCTAAATTTGCATTTTTGTGTTTATACATAAACTACTGCCCCATTAAACTACATTCTAGTAGGGATCTTGAATAAATCTGGGTAAAAAGAACTCAAAATAAGTCAATTTAAAGCTACATTACACTGCTGTGTTTATATCTTTGACCCATTTTACATGCCAACAGCTGCACACATATAGCATTGTATATAGTAATATACCTGCCCATACGATTGTCAATTTCTATATTTGGATTCACTATTTACTTCTATTTTTAAAATATATTTATTATCCATTTTTTTGTCCTGTCTCTGTCAATCTATTGCACTGTAGAAGCTTCTGTCACAAACACAAATTCCTCATATGTGGCAAAGACATACCAGGCAAAAAAAGCTCTTTCTGATTTCATATATATTCTACACACTTGCTGTACATTACTATATTAAAGCATTGTTGCTACTTATTGTACAGTATCTGGCACAGAATCCATAAAGAGCTCAAGTAAGGTGACAACAGTGATCACAAATAGACAAATGCATGAGATGACCTAATAGAATAACTTTCATATTTAAATGCATGTGCACACAATAATAAATCGTTAATATGGTGACTCTCTCAACTGTAACCCCTCTGGGCTTTCAGCTTGCACACACCCACTAACCTAACAGTGTATGTCAAACATTCACTCATTTGCCTTATTAAAACTGCATTTCAAACTCTTTGACTTTAATGCATGCAGTTATGTTGAGAAAATAATAATTCTTCAGCACCACCTCACAACATTCCTCCACATAGTCAGGAAAGCTGGCCTAGCCGAATGTTTGTAAACATCAACACATGATTGTTCCCTCTCAAAACTCAGTTGCTTATTATACAGTGGAAAAAAGCAGGACACTTACCCCAGAAGAAGTTCTGCTGACATGGGGTCACAGAACTAAACAGGCTGTTGGACGCCATGGTCGCCACTTTCGCTCCCAAATTTGGCCTCTCCGTGGTTTCTGGTGACCCTTGACGCCTTTTAGGTTAGGAGTGCGTGGTGGTGGTGTGTGCCAGCAGGGGGAAGATGCAAAAAAGGAAAAAACATCCACAAGAAATGCGTTTTTGTATCAACTATTTTCATGACCACAAGTAATGACCAGGTCTGGTTTTAAAAAGGAAAAAAAAAGAAGCAAAAATCTGTCGCCTTATTGGATAGGATGGAGCCAAGCTCGCTAGTGCGGTTGAAGCGTACTTACTGGTTGGTGCGGTCCTCGAACCTGAAGTTGACAACCCGGCGACAATTAACCATTTACGCTCCGCATGCAAAAACCTTTTTTTTCTGCGGTTCTGTGGTTGCTCGGGAGGTGAGCGGAGCCTTCACACAAACCCAAAAGAGGCACGAGCCTTTAAAAAATCTTTTTTCTTTCGCTCAGAACGATGTCACAGGAGAAGCAGGGTCACATGTTTCGTGACATCACTGACTGAGTCGTGTGGGCCAACTTTTCTGCGCTGCCGTTCCCTCTGTTTTCCTTCTTCTGGAGAAGCGTGGTTTTGCCGGCTCGTCCTGGCACTTGGAGAGGGAAGGGGTGTGTGTGTGTGTCTGTGTGTGTGATGCTGCTGCTGCAGCTCACCCCTTTGTGAGTCATGAGGCTTCGGAGGGGGTGTGAACACTCGTCTCTTTCTCTCTCTCTCTTTTTCTCCACACAAAAAGCACAGTTGAAGTCAAAATTATTAGCCCTCCTCTGAATTTATTCATATATTTCCCAAATGATGTTTAATAGAGGAGTTTTTCTGATCATATTTTTTCTTCTGGAGAAAGTGTTTTTATTATTATTATTTTTTGGCTAGAATAAAAGAAGTTTTTAATTTGTTTATTATTTAAGGTCAATATTTTAGCCCTCTAAAGCAATATTTTTTATTCGATTATCTACAGAACAAACCACTGTTATACAATAACTTGCCTAATTACCCTAATTAACCTAGTTATGCCTTTAAATGTCACTTTAAGCTGAATACTAGTATCTTAAAAATGTCTAGTAAAATATTATATACTGTCAACATGACAAAGATAAAAGAAATCAGTCAATAGAAATGAGTTATTTAGGATGTTTTCACATCTGTGGTTCGGTTCATTTGGTCCGGACCCAGGGCAACAAATGATACACCCTAGCAATTTTCTGCCATTTTTGGGTCCTTTTTTCACACCACACTAATTGCTTTGGTCCAAACCAGTTGAAAAGGGTAAAGTCTAGTTCGGATACAAGGCCGGTCGGAAGTGCGATACGCACATAAATATAGCAGCATTTTTTTATGACACTGTATAACAATACTTAATATTTTTATATTTTTGGTTGAGTTTAGGTTTGGAGTGGGGGCAGGTTTTAAACAATACAATTTATTGGGTTTATTGATGAAACAAATAATACTCGGTACAACTACTGTTTTTACATTACTGGTGGTTGAGTTCAGGGTTGGGATGGGTGTAGACATTAATAAAATACAATAAATGGGAAACAAAATAAATAATATAAACAATATTCTTTAACTTCCAGCCACAACCATATCCGATCTAGCAATAACAATTGAAAAGAACCAAATGCAGTCATGTGACAAATCCACATCACTCATTGGCCAGATGTTATTGAACGTATTTCCTAAACTGCTTTTCCATTGGTCAAAATTAAAATGCAAGAAAATGCCAATGGAACTCCCGCAAGTAAACAAACCGGCAGACACAAAATGTCACTTTTTACTATGGAGGGATGACTGCGCTTGCTGATTGTATCCCTGGTCATAGTATACTATATAGTTTGTATACATCACTCTAGACAAACTATACATTGAGAATGAAGTGTGGCTGTGGCTGGAAAACAATATTTTAATGCATTGCTAATGGCGAAGGCGCTTCACAAGGCATTTCAGGAGGAGGTGTGAATTAATTTAGCGAAACTTTTTGCGGTTGGCTCTGTTTTAATTCGGATCATATTCTTACCACAAACTAACCGCTCCAGGGTTCGTTTGAAAGAATACCGAGACCACCTCTTCAAGGAGGTCTTGATACGCTTTTTTGGTCTGCTTTTGGTCCGCACTCGAGTGTGATCGCTATAGTCACACCTGCCCAAACGAACCGCACCAACAGGGAAAACGAACTCTAGTGCGATTTACCTGAACTAAAAAAGGCAGGTGTGAAAACACTATCATGTTTAGAAATGTATTGGGAAAACAACATTCTTTCTGTCAAACAGAAATTGGGGAAAAATATACAGGGGGGCTAATAATTCATAAGGACTGATTATTCTGACTTCAACCGTATGTGGGCTCTTCTTTCCCTCCTGTGCTCTTTGTAGCTCTCCATCTTTCTCCAGCTGGTGGACGTGGGCTGCTTGTCTCTGCTCACCCTGAGGTGATGTGAGGAGAGCCGACTGCTGGAAATGAGTGATATGTTAAATTATGACAGCTTTTTCTGTAGTACAACCACCATCATTGTTATGAGCTGATGTTATTTGAGGACAGTAAGTTTGGTGGTCTTTTTTTTTTTTTTTTTTGGAGTACGTTCACAACATTCTTGAGCTCAAATTTCCAGGTGTATAATAACTTCAATTCAATTCATGTTTAATTATAGCACTTTTACAATGTAGATTGTGTCAATGCAGCTTAACATAGAAGTTCTAGTAAATTGAAAATGTGTCAGTCCACTTTCAAAGTTGAAGTTCAGTTCAGTTCAGTATGGTTTAATATTCACTTCTTAAAGTCCAAACACTGAAGAGCAAACCTAACAATGTGCAGCTCCACAAGTCCCAAACCAAGCAAGCCAGTGGCGACTTCACCAACTGACGAAAGTGAAGGGAAGAGGGAAAAAAAAAAAAAAAAACTCAAGGAAAAACCAGGCTCACCTAATAATAATTCTTAAGAATGTAAGAATAAATACCACAAACACATTGCTCACTGTTGGTTTATACATTAACTAATAATGTCAAGTGTGGTGTCAGTTTGCTGTTAAAGCGACCTCTAATGAAGCAAAGTATAAGCTGAGGAAAAGTTGGTGAGCGTTAACCTAATTAAATTTATCACAAGTTTTTTTTAAAAGACAGTAAGCATCCTAATCAATGATGAAGACTAAAATTACAGAAAATTTAATTAAAATAAGAAACTGAAAGAGGCATTAAAGAGGCGGACTTTAAATTACAAACTCTGTGGATGATCAATATTGTGAACAACTTTCGCAGGATCACTTTCGCATGTCGAGATGTTCATAATATGTGCGTGTGCAGGCGCTCACAGGCTGTTTCACAGGCACACGCAAAGCTTGAAGGTAAACAAACAACGGCTTATCATAAGCATCTCATCGATGATTATTTACACAGTTGGCATTAAGAAGAACATATCAACGTGATCTGACTAACTTCTAGCAGCTAAATGTGTCTGGAAAAATATTCAAAGGCTTTTATTCTCACAAACCGCGCGGACGTAAATGCGCCTGACTGTTGTGATTGGCTAAAGCAGACGTCTCACGTCAGCACGTTCTAGATGTTAACGCGCTTATTACGGTAATCTTCCTTCTGCATTCACACAGCGCAGCATTCCGGCAAATTGCCGGTAATGTTACAACTTCTCTTTCCGGAAAATAGCCAGAGCGAATTTACCGGTATTTTCAAAAAGGACCTGTTCACACATACAACCTTTGGAAAGGTCTGTATGTGTGAAAGGGGCTAATGAGAGACGAGCTTGATGCGGCATGAAAGCAGCAGAGCTTTTATTATGCCACGGTCCACAGCTTCCGGTTCTTCAGCTCATAATCACATAGAGAAGAAGCAGCGCTGTTTTATCATACTGGATGCATTTTAAGATTTGTTTTTTTAAAATGCTGCTCTGTGCAGTCTAATAAAACACACAACATATTAAAGCGTCTTTAGTGTTTCCCTGTGTTCTATAAAACCAAACTGGAAATCGAAGGTACATGAGGTCCCATTCCTTGTAGTTAAAATAGCTTATTTCTCTGCATTTGAACATTCTTTGAAACTTTTAGGATAAAGTACATAAGCCAGCAAAATTGTATATATTGTCCCTTTAAATGTCTTTGCAAACTTCAATAAAGCCACAATGTGGCCGGTGTGTGTATACATATAAATAAATAAAAAATATAAATATATAATAATGTGTAGGCGTGTCTGAAAGGACTCCCCTCTCCTCTTTCATTTTCTTACTCATAAAGACACAACATATGCCTGGCACAGATGCGTGTGCGCGCACAAATGAGTCGGTCTCTCTGTTCCTGAAATGAGTGATTCCTGTAAAAGGCAATACATTATTTGTACCTGACAGTTGAGTGTGCGAAGAAGAGATGCCTCCCAAACATGTGACAAAGCCCCATCACGCTCACTGACTCACTGCGTTCACACGAAACACACAGCTCCGCCTGCCGCTGCCTCCAGGATCCTGCTTGTAGGCATTTGTTTAAACACATAAAGAATGCCGTCGTTACAACAGATCAAAAGTCTGGAATGCATGGAATGAGAAAGATATTTTATTTCCATGCAAACTTATTTACATGCAAATGCATTCAGTGCCAGGACAACCAGGTTTCATTTATAGAGCAAAACGGTGTTGTTTTTTCCTCTAATAATGTATACAAGTGGTGTTACGTGTCAAACGAAAGACTGTTGTATGAGTCATATTGTTTTATGCATATGCAGCTTCAGAAGAAAGTGAACTGATGCTAAATTAATTAGTTAATTAATTAATTAACTTATTTATAAATGATTCACGCATTCCCATTTGCACTATTATAATGCATTTGCATTATTCTTGAAATAATAATGAGCTATAAAAATACAATTGAGTAAAAAAATGAAAGATACATTAAAGAGGCGGACTTCAAAGGCGTAATATGTAATTTTCAGCCACAAGAGGGCACATATTTGCAACAAACAAAAGGTGCAGTTTAATGACTCTGAGTGTGGAATCATGGGAGTTGTGGTCTTTATTACATCCTACAGGACTATATATATTATATAATTTATAAATGATTCCATGTTCCTAATTTGCACTATTATAATGCAATTGCACTATTCTTGAAATCATAGTAAGCTATAGAAATAAAATTAAATGAGTAGGAAACTGAAAGAGTTATTAAAGAGGGGGACTTTAAAGGCATAGTATGTATTGTTCGCCACTAGAAGGCACATATTCACAACAAACAAAGGCACAGTTTGATGACTGAGTGTGGAATAATGGGAGTATTAGTTTTCATTACATCCTACAGGATTATATACACTATACATAAATACTTCCTAAATGATTCACGTTCCTAACTTGCACTAATAAAATGCATTTGCACTATTCTTGAAATCATAAGCTATACACAAAATTAAAAGAGTAAGAATCTGAAAGATACATTAAAGAGGTAGATTTGAATGGCGGAGTATGGAATGTTCACCAATAGAGGGACATATTCACAACAAACAAAGGCACAGCTGGATGGAGTTGAGGTCTTCATTACATTCTACAGGACTATATACAATGTATACCTTATAAACGATTCACGTGTTCCTTATTGTACAATTACAATGCATTCACACTACTCTGTAATCATAATAAGCTTGTAGCTTAGGAATTTCTACAAATTTGCTAACCTAACTGGTGGCTCTTTCTGCTGTGGATACCCTCCGATACAGCAGGGAATAAGCCAAAGACAAGTGAGTGAGCATTACCCTAAATAA